TTACCAACAATCCATAAAAAACTTTACAAGACTTGGCAGGTTAAAAATTTTTTCAATAAATAAACTAAATTTATATAAATTGACACGCAATATTACATGTTAATTAATTAAAAAAAAATAAAAAAATAAAAAAATAAGAAAAAGATTTAATAAAATACTTTATGCAAAACAAACTTACATGTTAATTAATTAAAAAAATATAAAAAAAATAAAAAAATAAGAAAAAGATTTAATAAAATACTTTATGCAAAACAAACTTACATGTTAATTAATTAAAAAAATATAAAAAAAATAAAAAAATAAGAAAAAGATTTAATAAAATACTTTATGCAAAACAAACTTACATGTTAATTAATTAAAAAAATATAAAAAAAATAAAAAAATAAGAAAAAGATTTAATAAAATACTTTATGCAAAACAAACGCCAATAAACCAAAATTATTTCTTGGGAAAATATAGAACAGAACCGTTTGATGGTTTAATGAGCGCAACTACACGGCCACCAAGTAAAGCACCAAGACTTCGACGTCTACAAAACACTGAAACAGTGAAGCACAAATGTCATCCTTCGGACCTCACTACTAATTTACAAATCCTCATCCCACGATTGTAACACTCAATCACTGATCAAATTTAACCGAGGCAATGCAGCAATTTCTACTATTAGATCAGACAAACGCATCGCACGATGAAACTGAAAACCTCCACACTGAGCTGACAAACATCGAGTATGCACTGTCAACTTTACAAACTGTCTTGAGCATTAGGGTACATCTTATACTAGGTTTTTTGAGATTTTCGAGGGGAAAAAACAAAAGGAACATCAAAGGGAACTAATCACTGTAACTACATTGTGTGAAGGTTATCACTGTAATTTATCTATACATCATTCTGTCAGGTCCGTAAAGCCTAAACAACAACTAGAACTCACTTGAAAGGTCTCGTCAAGCTCTATTCCTTTTTCCAGAGCACAAATGCTTCCAATGATTTGAAAGCCTATAAATCTCCACTGACTAGGTAAAGAATCACCTTTAGCTATATCATCAACTAGCTAGAACTTCTCATGAGGAATGCTATAATACACCCCAACACTGCACCCGCAACAACCTGCAACAGAAAAGAAGAACAAGTCAAAATGGGCTGGTTCCAATAGAATAAACATGCAAGAAGGGACAAGGAAGATCATTCTACAAGCAAAACCAAGTCATTTGTTTCTCTATGTAGGACATGATTGCTAAAATGGTTAGGTGCATTCGATGACTACATAGACACTGGAAGAGTTGGCATCGAGACCATTAAATGCAGCATGCCCATTAGGAGTTCATCATTGCTTGCTCACAAAAACAATCCTTCACAGTATAAGTCTCAATTCAGTTATTGAAGGAAAGATTTTGACAGCTAAAACAAAACCATTTAGTCATCCTGTGCACAATGAAAAATCAATGGCAACCATCACTTCATATGCATACATGCAGATCAACAACAGACCTGGAGAGGAGTGTGACCAAGTGAATCCCGTAAGGGTCTAACATTGGAGACAGGGTGTTCAGGAGGAAGCTCACAGACAATTTGATTTAGTAACTGCAATAAATGAACCGTACAAATTAGAATAGAAAACATAATGGTTGTTGTTGCATAGCACAAGCGCAAACCAACATCATAGAGATAGAGATCACAACAATAAAACAAGCCAAACCATCTTTTATTTGTTATTGCATATGTGCATGATACAAACATTTTCTAAAATCAAAAGGCTAATAATGTAATTATTTATTTGATATTGCATCGACTTTTATGTAAATTCTAGACATTTAAAATTATCAAATTATCTACAATTTACTCTAATTTTAAAACTTGAGAAATCCTAATTTCTTTCTTATTGTTGCATTAGGTTCAACCATTGCTTTATCAAAATAAAAGAGATATCAGGCTTGCTTATAACAAATGTGTGTTTTAGTTTCCATTGTTCTACGTGAGCAGATCATCCAATTTGATAGCGAAAAGCAAGTGACAAAAAAGACTTCTTGAGCCATAACTTATGGAAAAAAGGCACTCAAGATTGCATTGCTTTGATTTTTTTTTAAAAAAAAATTACAACTACAAAAAATAACATACAGAATTGTTAAGTATTAACGAAACGGACCTAACTAATGAAAACCAAATTGAATAAAATTTTGAACCCTAACTAGGGAATATTATAAAAATAAAAGGAAAAATGAAGTAAATTCCTAAACAACAACTTCTAGACCTGATTTGAGCATGATCCAAAACTCGATTGGCCATACTGAACAAGTATTATGTGAATTCTAGCAAGGAAAAGCATGCTGAAGGCAGAAGAAGAAAGATGAACAGTGGGAATAAATAATGCTTATTAGGAATTTTAATGCTATATGATCATTCTAGAGTCCTAGTATCATTTATGATTATTAATATTATTACTTCGTAGTTAAATTATGAATCTAGTTTATTTCTTATTTATTATGTTTCCTTTTCCTATTTTTATTTGGATTGGTGCCTTATACATGCACCCTACATAGGCATTCAGTTGACCTTATGAACAATTATAATCAGATATTGGCTTTTTCTCAAAGAAATGGCTCTCTTGGTTTGTGTTCTTGTGGTGGTTCCACATCCTGCTTAGTACAAGTTTCAAAACCAGAGGCACAACCAATTAGAATGACATTTAGGGCCCACAGATAGCAGGCATGTAAGATAAGTTCTACCAAGCTGGAAATATAAGTTTATTATTGTTTCTAGAGTGCTATAGAGGATTCTTAATATGCTCCATAAAGTTTGCCAGATTCCCCGGTGATTTTGATTAATGCAGTAGATCTCACATGTACACAACAAAATATATTGACAGCATCAAACAGCTTTACCTCAGCTTGGCGACCAGCATGAAGTCTAACACCAGTTGCATCATACATGACCTGAGAAAAAAGGTTATGTAATCCGATAATGTTGACTCTAAATTAATTTATGGATACTGCCCAGTGGCATGCATGTAGCAGAGAATTCTCTTCATAGTAAGAATGCACTTAGATAGAAAGTGCATGAAAGTAAAATGAAGGCAAAAATTCAGTCTGGCTTGATAACTTCCAAAGGCATAATTAACCTTAAAACCTAACATATATGCCTAATTCATCTTTACAAACATTTCTCATTCATGAAATTTCCAACAGTAATCGTGAACTTAAGCAAGATCATGCATGTCAACCAAAAAGAATGTACAAGACCTGTTTACAAAATACATACAACACATGCCAAAACCAATGCAACAGCAAATGCTGGTGCTCCAGTTCCTTCTTGCAGACCAATAGCGGTTGCTAGAGAAGTCACGGTTGCTGAATGAGATGAGGGCATTCCACCTGACCCAAGCATCCTTCTAGCATCCCATCTCTTCTCCTTGAACCTGCCAACAAAGATGATATATTGAGGGGGGGTGGGGTACATGGTACAGAAATGAGCAAGGTTGTCTACAATTTTGCAAAAGATTGTTTCGAGGACACAGAAATGGAGTCAATCATGACAAATATATTCATGGATAAACAAAAATAAGCTCTGTGCACATCATTCGCACAACAGTGCTGGCAATTTGTCAATTACTTGATTACAGAAAAGACGTAATAAAATTATTAATTTTTGTGAATGACAACTTTTTAAGGAATGAATTTTGGTATTTTCAGTTTCACTTGCATTAAACAAAGATTTGTAGTTTTCATTCAATTGTCTCTTCTTCAGTTCATGAACTAAGGAAATAATAAACACAATTTATTACAGTGAAATAATTCCGAGCAAGGCCTGTTTTGTGAGAGACAAATTAGACCAGTTTCAGAAATAACAGGGAAAAAAAATTACTGCTGAAATGAATTATTTCCCTCTATTCCACATTCTTTGCAACACTTTCGTTCTTACCACTTAACCGAAAGCAATATATGGACTCGACACCGCATATAACTAAGAACCCATCAAGCCCTACCACCGAAAAAACAAACAAGAAACGTAGACTCTGCGTATAAAAGAAAAGGATATATATTTATGCAATGAAGGGAGAGTGAGAGAGATTACCACGTGGTGAAAAGCTTGAGGAACTGGGCAAGTGAAAAGGCAAGGAAGGCGGTAAGGAGAGGAATGTTGGAGGGGAGACTGACGGGTGGAGATGTTGCTGATCGATATCTGGACGATGCATCAGCAGCTGTCATCACTTCGTCCATTGAAACTCTAAAATCAAAATATATGAGCCGAGCCGACAGTGATACAGAAATTAGAAATTTTGGAATAAACTATAAAGATTGCGTTGCTGTTAGGCAAGTGGGTCTGGTGGGTGAGATTTGGATTTTGATTCTGATCGTCTTCTCTGTATTTGTGCTCTCTTCGTCCTCAGGAAGTAACCATCCCGAATAGAAAATAAAAAATCCCCCAGAAAAGAAAAAAGAGAAGAAGCAGCAGCACTAGGGTTAATAGTACCTATAGGCTACAGATACAACCATTTATAGCATGTTTTATTACCGCAAAATTAAAAAAAAAATTAATGAAATTTTTCTGCATTGTTTTATATATTAATATAAAACATAATTTAAAAAAATAAAAAAATATTTTAATATATTTCTAAAAAAATCACTTCAAATCACTACCACTACTACAATTTTAAACAAATTATTAATTTAATAATGCATTAATTTATCAAAATATCAATTTAAATAATTAATTTCTCACAAAACAAAATAATAAAATAATACATCCAGCTTATAAATCTGGTATAAACTTAAAGCTAAGGGAAAATAAATGAAAAATATAAAAGAGCTTAGACCTGAGATAAAAATAAATATATATTATAAAAAAATAAAAAGCATTTATTACTCACTAAAATAAAGATTATTATAAATTAGAGTAGTGTAAAATAATTTTTTTTCTTTGTCAAAAAAATTAATTGAATATGCAATTAAAGATAGATATATTGTTTTATGAAATATATTTGGCAATGGATATTTGACTTAGAGAAAAATAATATATGAATATTTTTTGCTATAATAAAAATATTATTATGCCCTTAGAAGCACAAAAAATCAATCCTTAAGTAAGGGGATTTTTTTGTTTTTTTATAAAAAAAAAAAAAACAATAACATACAGTTATACTCCTTAAAGAGAAAAAAAAAATATACATGCATATAAGAGTTTATGCATATAAGAGTTTATTTGTCTTTTCATTTTATTAAAATAATTAAAAGGCATAATTACCCTTGGAATTCAAAAAATCAAAGGCTAATTATAGGGATGTTTTGATCTTTTTAGACCTTTTTTTTTTGTTATTTTTGGATTTTTGAAAAACAATAATACACATGCCTATGGGAGAGATCTAGTTTTTTTTTTCTCTCTCTTATTACCAAGAAAATAACACTTGAATTTAAAAAAAAATCATTGTGTCCTCTAGTCTGTATTCTTGTTAATTTTGATCCTTTTTTTTTTAATTATTATTTATTTGACTTTTATACCTTTTTTAAGTTTGGAATTTTTTAATTTCATTCTTGGATATTTTATTCAAATTGATATTTTTATCTAGTTTAGTCAGTTTACTTTTAATTGCTCTATTATGTGCTTTTATATTTTCCTTGATTATTTTTTTCTTGCAATTTCATATCTTTTTTATTTTATTGTATTTGTTTTTTAATTATTTTTTATCCTCATTCTTTGATTCCTATATATTCTTATTTTTTTTCTTAATGCTTTTTCAATTTTGTTTCTTAATATTTAATTTCATTTGGTTTTTTAGCTAGTTTTGGTTCTCATTCTTTCAATAATTTTTTTATATCATTTTCTTAGTTTTTTGTTTTACAATTAGCCCCTAATTATCTTCTTTCATTTTTTGTACCATATTTTGTATACATTGTTTATATTTTAAATTATTTTACGGTTGGATATTTTTCTTTGTTATTTTTTTTATCACGGTCTCATATTTCGAGTAATAGATAAGTCAAGTTAACAATGTTTGCCTTAACTTTTTTTCCTTATTGTTTTTATGAAATTTATTTATTTTTTTACAATTTTATACTTTGACGTTAAATTATTGGCATTTAAGCTATGTGGTTTGTTCACTTTCTTTTCTTTTGGGTTATCTTAGGTGTATATTGATTAATACTCAAAAGTGCATTTTTATTAAGATTTTATATTATTTTTTTGCACTTGAAGTATCAATATCTTCTTAATTAAAGCATGTTTTATAATAACATATCTAATAATACAAGATACCATTAATTTGTGGTAAATGTTCATTTTAAATGCAAGCCTATTACATAAATGAAAGGATTGATTGATGAGTTTAAAAATTAAAATTGAAAGGACAAAGAGATGGTCAAATTTAGAATATCACATAAATGAAAGGATTGATTGATGAGTTTAAAAATTGAAATTGAAAGGACAAAGAGATGGTCAAACTTAGAAAAAATATGTTGGTGCAGTCCAAACCAGAACACTATTTAGTAATTGGGTTATATCTGGAGCTGTAGATCTCAGATTTAGGTCTACTTTATATGGATGAAAAGGTAAGACATATGCCTACAACTTTCATAGGAGTTCAGGATTTAAAAAGGTCATTTGCAAGTCTAAATTATAACAACAATAAAGAAGTCTAAATATGTCCTGCAGCCAAAACATTGTTCAGTATTTGGCCCATATCTGGAGTTCTAAAAGTCCAAATAACTTTCATTTTTTTTTTCTGGAAAGCTGAGATAATTTCCTACAACTTTCATGTTTTCAAATTGTTCCAATTTTGATGATTGACATTTTGGGCAGATAAGAAAAGATAAGGATTGTCACCAAGTCAAGAGTTGGTTACCCACTCATTAATTAGTCATCAAATCAATAGTTTCTAATTTTGACCTATAAAAGGAGGCTTTTGCCATGCATTTAGTCATCTTGGTTTTCAAATCAAGATCATCCTCTTACTTTCTCTCTTTGTATTTTTAAGTTTTATTTTCATTAATATCTTATTTATACCTTTCATTTCCTTTTCTTTACTTAGTTAACTTTTATTTTATTTATATTCTTATCTTATTTATTTATGTTTCTCTCTTTCATTTTGTTTAGCTAAGTTTATTATGTCAACGTGAAAAGGTTACACTAATAGTGTAAGAATAAGTATAGTGTAAACTTAACATAGACTTTAATGTTTGATACTAACATGTTTTGTATTTGTTATCTTATTCACTCTTTAATACTTTGCTTGTTAAATAACTAATCTAGATTTATGTTGTAGAACACTTGGTATAACAAATACTTGGCACTTTCATAGCCCATACTATATGGTATAACCAACACCTGTGCTACGAAAGAAACTTGATTTATTGTTAATATAAGTTATAATCATGAATGCCTGACAATATTTACAAGTATTAACATTAATTGAATAAGATAACCAATGTAATCATGTTAACAATTTATAATCTAATTAGAACCTCCTTTGTGTGTTGTTTTCAATTGAATAATAAGAGTTTATACTATTCTTGTTTGATACACTATTAGTGGAAAATTCTCATCAACTTCTTCTTCTTCTTCTTTATTATTATTATTATTACTACTACTACTACTACTACTATTACTACTATTATTACTACTACTACTATTATTGTTATTATTGTTACATTGTTACTGTTATTGTTGTTGTATTATTATTATCTATAATTTATACAATTAACCTTCTTGTGATTCGACCCCGGTCTTGCTGGGTTATTATTACTTCGACACTCTTGCACTTGGGAGAAGACATCAATCTTTTGGTCAAGTCAAGTTTTTGGCACTGTTGTCAGTGAGGTAAGTTCTTGTATAAATTATAGTATTTATTTTATTTTCACTTTTCACTTTTCTTATATATAACTTTGTTTTTTTATTTTGTTTCCTTTTCTTTTGATTTTTTTTCTTCCTTTTATTTTATTCCTACACGTGCATGAGAGTGTGATCACATATATTAAGTGGTAGACTTTGTAGGTTATCCTCATCATTTTCAGAAAAAGATAACCAGTTGCTTCATAATGGAAATAATAAGAATAATTATGCTAGAACACTTGGAGACCACATGAATCCCACAAGAACAAGTGCACCATCATGTATAGTTTTTCCTCTTGATACATCTCATTTTAATTTTAAGCCAAACATTATTCAACTTTTACCTTCTTTTCATGGCATAGATTTAGAAAATTCATACTTGCATATAAGAGAATATGAAAAGGTCTGCAACACTTATAAGAACTCAAATTGTAGCATGAACACTATCAGATTAAAGCTTTTTCCTTTTTCATTAAAAGATAAAGCTAAAAACATGGCTATAAAATTTGAGACCAGGATCCATTCATGCTTGGAATGAAATGTGACAACAGTTTTTAAAGAAGTTTTTTCCTTTTATAGAACAAACTCTTTCAAAATACAAATCACCACTTTCAAAAGTCTACCTCTTAATATACGTGACCACACTCTCATGCATGTGTAGGAATATAATAAAAAAAAAAACAAAAGAAGGAGAAACAACACAAAAAAAACAAAGTTATATACAAGAAAAGTGAAAAGTGAAAATAAAATAAATGCTATAATTTCTACAAGAACTTACCTCCCCGAAAACGGTGCCAAAAACTTGACACGACCAAAAGATTGATGTCTTCTTCTAAATGCAGGAGAGTTGAAGTAATAAATAATCTGGCAAGATTAGGGTCGAACCACAGGAAGGTTAATTGTATAAATTATAGATAAGAATAACACAACAATAACAACAATGATAATAGTAGTAAAGAAGAAGAAGAAAAAATTGATGAGAACTTTGAGATGAAAGATTAATGATATGATTAAACAATGATAACAACAAATGTCAAGGTTAGATGATCTACTAATGATATATGTCAAACTAATGATATGTGTCAAACAAGTATAGTTCTTATTATTCAATTGGAAACCACATAGAAAGAAGGTTCCAATCAGATTATAAATTGTTAACATGATTACATTAGTTATCTAGTTCGATTAATACTAATACTTGTAAATCTCATCAGGCATTCATGATTATATCTTATGTTAACAACAAATCAAGTTCCCTTCATAACTCAGGTGTCGGTTATACCATACAGTATGAGCTATAAGAGTGCCAAGTATTTGTTGTACCAAGTGTTATACAACATAAATCAAGATTAGTCATTTAACAAGCAAAGTATTAAAGAGTGAACAAGATAACAAATACAAAACATGTTAGTATCAAACATTAAAGTCCACATTAAGTTTACACTATACTTATTCTTACACCATTAGTGTAACCTTTTCACCTTGACATAACTAACTTAGCTAGACATAATGAAAGAAAGCAAAATAGATAAACAAAATAAGAACATAAAAGTTAACTAAGTAAAGGAAAGGAAATGAAAGGCATAAACTTAATATTAATGAAAACAAAGCATAAAAAATACAAAGAGAGAAAGGAAGAGCATGATCTTAATCTGGAAACCAAGATGCCTAAATGCATGGCAAATGCCTCCTTTTATAGGCCAAAATTGGGAACTATTGATTTGATGACTAATTGATAAGTGGGTGGCCAACTTTTGACTTGGTGACAATCCTTATCTTCTCTTGTCTGCCCAAAACGTCATTGATAACGTCAAAACTGGAGCCAGTTGCAAACATGAAAGTTGTAGGCAATTGTCTCAGCTTTCTTGTGTAAAAAATTCAGCTCATTTGGACTTCTAGAACTCCAGATATGGCCAAAATACCGAACAGTGCTCGGGCTGGAAGACAGATTCGGGCTTCTTTGTTGTTTCTACAATTTGGACTTGATAATGGCCTTTTTAGATCTTGGGCTCCATATGAAAGTTGTAGGCCTATGTCTTACCTTTCCATCCATATAAATTGGACCTAAATCTGAGATATATAGCTCTAGATATGACCCAATTACCGAACAGTGTTCCGGTTTGGATTGCACCGACATCTCTTCTCTAAGTTTGACCATCTCTTTATCCATGCAATTTAAGTTCTTCAAGTCATCAATCAATCCTTTCATTTATGTGATAGACCTGCATTAAAAATAGACATTTACCACAAATTAAAGGT